TATTAGATAAATAAAATTTAGACTAGCTTTCAAAAAGATTAATTCAAGGAATGTGATCCTAAATTTTATATTTCAAAGGAGGTGAGTCGCAGGAGCTTTACCATAAGTAAATTAAATTTATATCTCTCAATGATAAAAATGTGAGTCGTATAACATCCATTTTTATGTTTTTACTTTGAACTTTGGATTATTTCTAATAAATTACTTTTGATAATTTGTTTATGGCAGAAAACCAATATATTTATTTTATATTTTTGTTGAAAAAATACAATTATAAAATATACAAAAACGAAATATCTCATTTAAACTTTCTATGTCATCTCTATTTCTGAACACTTTAAGAATAAAGCATAATTTAAATAACAAATACCAATTGTTATTATTAACATTGAAAAATAAATAATTCATCCAAAAATGAATGACATATTAGCAGACATAAATACATTACGCTTCAGCACAAAACACTCATTTAGAAACAAAAAGAATTTTATAACTGTTCTATACGCGTGCTTATTGAAAATATGGTATTTCATATTTATTTTTAGGTAGTCATTAGCATAATATTTAGTCTGTTACCACCTCAATCTAGACTTTTTTGTTTTATAGTATATAAAAAGGAATTTTACCTTTACAAATATTATCTTTAAGACATGTAGCGTCCTTACTACGTTAGGGTGAACTTGACAAAAAATATTAGCGTTATTATTTTTTAGATTCTTATTTCAATACATTACTTTTACAGAAATTTTAAATCTCTCTTACTCCTAAACAGTAAAAGAGCTTAGAATGTCTTATTTATAAAGAAAAAAAATATGTAAATTATTTGAAGTTTGACTCAATTTTTCCTATACATATAAATTTGATGAGTGTTTGTAGTCTCGGCTCTTGATGAGTGTTTGTATTGTGCAAAAAGGTTTAGGAGAAGTCATTACTAACATTATTTGTTTAAATTGTTTCAATGTATAATGCAATCGAAAAAGTCTGAGTAAGTATGTAATAAGGAAAATGGTAGAAGTGGCAGCCCTGAGAAAGGCAAAAAATAATTTAAGATAGGGAATCATGTGTCCTAGAGATCGTCACTTAAATAATTTTCGTGTATGTATTATTATTATTCTGATTTTTTAATGTTATAATATTCACTTTTTAACCTAAGATTACTAATTCTATTTTTTTCCCACAACAAATTTCATTTTCAGTTAGTTAAAATGAGGAAGTCATGGAATGCTTCCAAATATTAGGCAGTAAGAACGTAAAGACAAAAAATATATACATATGAGAAACAGTTAGCAGTTAGCAGTTAGCAGAAATCCATAATGAAAGTTAATAAAGTTAATTAATAAAAAAACTATATTTCGTTATATACTGTTTATTAAAACCATAGTTTTCAGGCTCATAACATTATAAAAGGTACATTGTGACAATAAAACTATGGTAAAATTGTTGGTGTATTTTTTTGCGGAAATATCCATGAATGTGATCATCAAGAAGTAATTGCTATTATTCATTGGCTCTGTAATTTTAATGATAAAAACACGTTTCCGTTTTTTTATCTATACAAAAAATTTCACAATGGTTGACTTAATGCTAGTAGATTTTTTGGTGCTGCATAGCAAAATAATAAAAAAATGCCTTCTTTACGTCATACTTTAGTTAAAACAGCTCATTTGAAGGAATTTTCATAATTGCTTTTTGATAAATTAATATCACAAACAAGTTACATAATTAAATGCATTAATTAACAGTAAAACCATGAATATACTGATATGTGATTAAATTAAATTTACAATTAATTATTTAAGTATTAAAGGTGACTGGAAAATAGAATATAATAATTTGTTAATAAAGTTTACATACACTAAATAAATATTACAGTTTTTAAGTATTTTTAAAAAGAAACTGTGATACATAGAAGCATTTAAGTCAACGCTCCTATTATATTCAAAACTTTGTATTTTATACCCCTTAGAGTGATGGAAAGGTGCACCGATAACGATTATAAATGTATGTGAGGGCGGAAGTCATATATTTCACAGAAAAATCTTGAGGCCTGAGTTTTTCATATACACGTTCTTTTATACTTAAGATCACCATTTTATTTGAAATATATATAATATTATTATCATTTTGTACACTTCATAGTAACACTGGTAGATTATACAACGTATAATTAGTTTTACCGTGTCTTATGGCGTTATAAAATCTTATGCTATTTGTAGAGGTCATTATGAGTAAGAGTCATCATTACACTATTAACAGTAATATTTATTACACACCTCTATTGTATTTTATTTACACGAAAGAATAGTCGAATAATATCAAGAAAAAAGTCTGTAATTATAATAGAGAATTATAAACCTAATTTATATATTTATGATTGAAATTGTCTACGAAATCAATGTTGACCAAAATTTTGGACCTGTACTAATGAGATAATTCTAATTTCTTCTAAATTTTACACACAAATTTTAAATTATTACTGTTTTTTTATAAATGAAATAAATTTATTAGATAAGTAAATATTCAACAAATAAAATAGTGATAAGTATTTTGTCAAACTTTATATTAGTACAATCAATGTGTTCGTGGTTTCCACAATCACGTAATGACAATAGAAAATAAATCATACCATATCTATTTAATGAACTAAGACAACCTATTATTAAATTTATTTTTATCATTGCTGTATTATTTTGAGAAAAAAAATTATTTTCACTTTAAGGGATTCATGGTTTAAACATATATTTGGCGTGATTTGTTTTATTTAAAATACTGTTATTTACGTTTTTTATCCAGTTCATATCAATTCTATTGACGTGTTCTGTCGTATTACTTTGACGGAAATAATGATTTTAAGGAAATTTTAAAGATTTGGAGATAAAAATTGAGGAAGAAGATGGAAAGGAAGTGATTGTGTCCTGATTATCACGTTTTAATAACTTTATCGTAAATTGAGTGACTATTGTAGTAATAAACAATAGATTACCTACAGTTTAATTTACAGGTAAATTACACAAAAATGTTTGGACTATCGTGAATTCATAGAACTTATTTCTGACTTTTATTCAATAAACAATATAGCGGGCATGTGAAAAGTACAATACTTGGTATATATATTTTTTAAGTCCCAAAGTGTAATACTTATTTAAAGAGTATAAGATAATAAATAGTTTGCTAAAATTATTAACAGGAGTCAACAACTTACTATAAATAGAATTCTCTGCCAACACACCACTGGTAATAAATGACCGGATAGTCTGTTATGTGCAAAGATTCCAATAGGGTCTGGATTAAGAGTGCCAGCTCAAATTATATTTGATGATCGCCTTCCGGTGACCAGGCGTAAAATTGTTTTTCTTCTTCTTTTGTTGTGATGGGATATTTATATCTAAGAATGTTGAAACTTCAAAGACTTTTGAAACTGTAACTATCAAAATCTCAAGAATGAAAACGAATAAATTATAAAATATTCATAACTAAAGCAATCGATATAATAAACTGTTAAGAACCAATAATATACAGGGTGACTGGTGAATTACTATCGATATTTGAGGACGTGATATTTGACGATCATATATGACAAAATAAAAATTAATATAACATAAATATTAATAAACTACTAAGTAAAGTTAACCAAAAGTTATGTAATTAATTACGCATCGTGTGAGCACCCTACAGATTAGGTATACACACACACTCACACATACGCGTGTCGTGACGTAGTGTTGTATCAGCACGCCGCCGCACGCGTCCACACTTTAACACTTGGAACGTGTCAACACTTTATTTATTTATACGGAAATTTTGTCAAAAATTAAGTGCCTATTTTTTTTACATAATTCGAATGAGAATCATGTACCGAGTATGCTCCTTAAATATTGATAGTAATTCACCAGTCACCCTGTATATTTAAAAATATTATCCTTACCGTCGTATAATTAAATCAAATATCGAAGTCATATATTAAAAGACTTATAAACTATAATATTTGTTTTGATTTCCAAAAATCAGATCGGACAACGTGACACTTGAAATTAAAATTAATAGAAAAGTAATTATGTAATGAAAATAATTACTACAGTTATTATAGTTTTAATTTGTCTAATCATATGTTTGACGTAGAAACTAATTAACGGATTTTGATATAATTTTGCAGTTATGTAGTTAAAATATAGTTGTAGAGTAGATAAGAACTTTGTGTTTAAAAAAATAATAAGGTTTTTTACACTTATATTTTGTAGGTAAATTTTATGAACCTCTCAAACTTCTTTCATATTTTTACCTCGTTTTGTTGGCTTTTAATTTGCATAGTTTGTAACGAAATTTGATAGAACACATTTTAATTATTTTTCAAGTTAATTACGTACGAAATTAATGAAATGGGATAAATATTTGTTAAGGTAGTTTTAATCAAGCGTGTAAGAAATCTCTGTTCTACATCCTTGAGTTCAGATAACTTTCTAGCTTAAAGCTTTATTTGTATAATTAACTGCAATTTTATTCAGGTTATAGTTGACAACGTTATTTTCGCTAAGAGTATAACTTTAGTTCGATAGATCTAATGATCATTTTATTTATGTAACTTTAAGTTGTTAGTATTTTTTTAAACAGAATTACTTCCAAACAAATATAATGTTTAATAATTTCCACCTATTCACCATTTATATTGATGTTCAGCACACATTTATTTTTCCATTTTGTATGTAGTATCAAAATGTTTTAAATAAACAACTTAAGCGTTACGTTGATCATGAATACGAAAAACTAATAATTATAAGGGAAATACAATAAGTAGTTCTTATTTTTTACTTATTAAAATGTTACTAAGTTTCAATCAATATAAGCAATTTAAGATGCAACAACTAACATGTATCTGAAGTTGTAGAATATTAATAGATATTTTTTACAATATTTTATATGTGTTTATAGTTTTTACCGTTACGTAAGGTAAAGATTATTATCAGCAATAACGTTCATTTTATAGCATTAATATAAAGAATGTCATGAATGTAAAAAATAAGGTAATTTTTAAGACGTAAGATTAAAGTTCCATGAAAAATTTATATTATATATTTTGCCTAATTTTTAATCACTATTCTTATAAAGAAAATTTTAATTTTTAGAAATATTTAACTTAAAAAAAAGTTTCAGAAATCTTATAGCAGCAGTGTATCGGTTAATTAGCATGGTCTTTAATATGAAAAAAAAAGATTAATCTACCAGAGTCCTTTTGCTTGGTGTAATATTTCGGTTACTTTTAATTACAAAAATTATTAAGTGATTTTAATACTCCTCTGTTTGGTGTAATTTTTTATTTTTATTATCTCTGTATTTGTCAATAGGGTTTACGAATTTAATTTCTATTTATTAGCTCTTGGTTTGCTTTGGGGAAGTTTACGTTTATGGAAGTTGAGCATTTATCACTTTAATGATGAATTACTACAATATATAAATTTTATAATACATATATGTATATATAATTTTTAAAAAAAGGTTATAAAAATAAAATTGCAAAGAATTATTCAGATTCAGTGTATTTTTTTTACAAATAAAATATTAAATGAATTGAATTAAACAAAGATATTTTCTTAACACTAGATAATAATATTAATAATTTTGTAAATAAAAAGTCAAATCTAAATAAACTTCCACAGTTTTACATAATACATCAAATATTTTGAAATTAAGAATGAGAATATATATTGTTATGAGAGGGAAACAGAAATGTTTTAATTATAGAAATGAAAACAGCAAAGCTTGAAAGAAAATTCATATTTATGACTGGTAATGCTTTTGATGTTGATTTTATCTTTTTATAGTTAAACAGTATTTATATAATTTTATTTATTAATTAGTATCCATAACACAATAGACGTTAACGTATCATCGGTACAGACAATGGAAACACTCACGAAAATCACAAGACATGTGATTTTATTTTACTGATAAATTCTCATTGTTTTATTTTTATGTATCCATTCTAGTAGATCGTTAAAGTTTAATATATTGAAAGAAATTTTTCCTGTTATTTTAAAACTTGATAATAAAAATAATTACTAAAAATTCAAAGAATACATTAAAACGTTATATAATTAAGTTTCTATAGAATAAATAGAAACAGAATCTTAAATCCTAATATTTGTATAATCCTAATATATTCACAAAGTTTGTGTTTGCATAGAATTAAGCTAGCAAATACATGTATATTTTTTTATATTTTTATAATCGTTTTAAGGAATATAATTGAAATTTTAGTTTTATGATTTTATTTTCAGCTATGGCTTACTTTTGGTGCATCATTGGCATTCCTTATAATAGGATTAGTTAGAGGATATTCTGCCTCGGCTATACCATCGATGGAGAATTTAGATCCCTCTCTTATACAGCACAGTGAACAAAAGTCATGGATTGGTAAGAACAAATCAAATTACTTTTTAATTACCATTATCTAACAAATACTAAAATATACGATGAAATACGAATAATGAACATAATAAATCTTTATGTATACAACGTTTGCAATTTTAAAACACTAAATAGGAATATCCATAGATACTATATAACGTTCAAGAAACAAGTGTCAAACGGCAATCATAACACATGTCGAGCTAGTTTTCTCGTTCTACCCAAGATTCGTACAAATTACGGTAAAACAATGATCACCTTTGAAGGTGCAAAACTGTATAATTAACTACCCATAGATATAAAAAAATGTAAACTCATTTAACGTATTTAAAAAAGAACTTGCTGAGAATATTTTAAATAATAAATAATAAAAACTAATACAATACGTTAAATTATTACTTAATATAGAAAAATGTCTCTGAGTTAAGTGTTATTTCATTACTTTTTTGTTACAAGTGCGATGTGGAACTGTATATTCATAAATGTTTTTGTTATACGTGTAATTCTCATGTAAGTTATAATAATGTCTTAATGGGAATAAATATCTTAAACCATAAATATACATATAAAGTTAGTAAAGCATAATGATATATAGTGTAAATATGACCATAAAGATTTAATTTAATGAAAGTGACTGGGATAGCTTCATTTCATAGTTAAATAATTGTTGTAGGTGCGATTCCGCCGTTGGGAGCGTTCGTGGGTAGTATGCTGTCAGGACCTCTGATGCAGCGTGCTGGAAGGAAACGGACCTTGCAGCTAACGGCACCACTTTGGGCAGCTGGCTGGTTGATACTTGGTTTTTCTTCCAACTTCTCTCTCATCCTAGTCGGCAGAATGATATCCGGCCTTTGTGTAGGACTTGTTCTTGCACCGGTACAGGTTTATGTGAGTAGAATCTTAACATTAATTAGAAATATTATAATATCTAAGATTGTAGCGAGTATTCATTGAAATAAAACTTATATTTTACGGATTTACTACGCGTTTATAATTATTTTTTGGATAGGTATACTCCTGACATTTCGGCATTCTCATCTCGTCTGCCCGTGACCTCGGCTGCAGCAAGGTAACTGAAACGTTGGGAGTATGTTGTTAAAAATATTTATATACTCGTAGCAAATCCGAAAATTATTATCTTTATTTCAAAAAGTATTGATAACACGAAAAGTTTACTGTCGTTTTAAAGAAGAGCAAATCAGAAATAGACGTAGATACATATAATCATAAGAATTTAACTAATTATGTATACAGAATGTAGATTACTCAATTATTCTTATTCATATACGTAATCTTAAAAGTAAATAAAATTAATTAATTATCTTAAGCAGGTCTTTTAAATAGTCTTTAACTTTAATTTTTAGCTAATGTTCAAAAAATCATGTTAAAGAGGTCACGTAATTTTAATAGCATTAACTTACTTAATAGCATTACTTTGGTCTCATTACTTCAATGGACTGTATGAGTTCTTATAAAACTAATCTTATGTATAATATCTACGAACTCATTTTTATAATCATGTACATACATTGGTCGCATACGGCAACACAGTGAAAATCAATTGATTTTTTATCAATAAGAATGTTAACTTGAGTACGCTTCTTTCGTAATGCTGAGATATCAGTTAAATAGAGATTTAAGAGGGTGATAAGATGTTTAAATGACAATATATCAATCAAATTAACAATCTGAAGTGGAAATCACCAATCATTGCTCCGGACTATCAGATGATAGACAACTGAAATCTGAAGATTGAATAATCTTTTTAAGTAAATGATATGGTCGTTGCAGGGAGGTGGACGGAAGATAAAAGAAAGATGGTGGTTAGTCACTGGTCTATTATTTTCTATAATATCGTCACCACATATTACGTCTGACTGAACCAGCACATTCAACACGTGATTGTGATAACGGACTTTTATCTAGGTGTCTGTCTTATATTTCTAACACAAGTATTTATACCAAATTTTATATTTGCCCAGCATCGGGATATTTGGCGAGGTTTTGAAAAGGCTTTGTTCAATGAAGGATGGTGATAGGTTTCAGCATATTGTTAGTTAATTCAAAGGCATGAATTGTTTTTAATACTACATATATTTCCTATTTCGAAATATTGATAAACAAATACGAAGTATATAAATTATATGCAACAGAATACAATGTCTGTACTTCGTATTTCGGGCATTTGCTCGTATTTTTTAATTTAAGTTACATATGTCATAATTACTAATATATAAAATAATCGTCAATGCTAATGGTAGCACAAATAAATTCAAGGTTACTGATGAGAAATAACTATGAAATACTAATATTACGGAAGACTATACTAAAGAATAGTTGAAAATTTATCTTGAAGTTTTGATAAAAAAACAAGGTTTTTTTAAAGTTGTTTATTTATGGTTTTCAAATTTGAATAAAAATATATTAGGTTTTAACCATGTTAGTTGGTATAGTTGTGTTAAAAATGTACTTACATTTATATAATATTTCCACATTTTAAATAAAACTAAATCATAGTCGATTTAATGCTTTAAAGTATTGTGGTGTATTTGTGTTAATAATGTTCTCCGTGTAAATACTCTAAATCAGTAGTCCCCAAACTTATTTTTCTCGTGGACCACTTTCAAAATTGTACTGGTTTCGGTGGACCCCCTGCTGCTACATTTCTACCACAATCTTAAAGTCGCCAAAAAATAAAAATTGTGTCACTTCTGATTTCTGTCTCTATATTCCGATAGGTAAAATAAAAACGAAAAATGGTACATTTTATAACACTTTATTTATTAAAAGAATGATATATATAATTCTCCGGCACTAGCAAACACTGATATAAATTTTCTCACACCTTTTTTTCGAAATTTTGGAAACAAATGAATGAGTTTGCCTTTGGCATCAAGTATTTATAGTGGTGATCAAGTTCATGTCTGAACAAGCATTAAGCATTGTCGGGCGGATAGCGCTTTGCAAGTCTGTACACGAAATTGTACGTAATATCGAAAACGCAAATTTAGACAAGTAACAGTCGCTTGCCTTATTTAAATATTATCTGCTTAGTTAGGTACTTAAAACAATGTAGGTAGGCCCTTATAAAAACTATGCTTACATTTTTGCTCTTTACTATCAAAAGCAGATAAATTTTCGTGGACCCCCATTTTTTGTTCACGCTTACGTAGACCCCCAGCAAGTCTCCCGTGGACCCCTGGACCACTTTGGGAATCACTGCTCTAAATTATATAGTATTACCTACTTTTTCCTATTATTATTTATATCTTTCACAAACAATGTAGAATATAATTAGGTATTAACTTATTTAAACGGCACTCTGGGTACAATAAGTCAGAAAAACAAAAAAATATTTAAGATATTTGCAACATTCATTACTTTTTTAAAGTAATGCTTTTTGGATTTATCACACGATTTAACGTTTTGTTAAATACATGAATCTGGTTTGTTAATGAATACGGTGATTGCAAAGTAGTCAAAAAATTATCTTAAAAACATCATTTTAACTAAGGCAAATTGAAAATTAAGAATAAAATACATTTTAGAATAACCGTAATTATATTTTGTATAGAAATTATGACAAAGAAACGAGTTGACACTCTTACCGGTGCTACTATATTAATAATATTTTAATGAGAAAATAATAGTCTTTACAATCACAATGAATTAGCAAATAGATAAATCATAGTAACACCTGTTCTCGTTTGAATAATGTAAACTTGACAAAACCCTACTTAAGTAAGTGAAAACATAGATATGAAATATAAATCAGATAATATTTAAATACATATAGTGATAAAATCAATACAAATTATGATTGTGTTATTTCATTAATAAAAACTTTGAGTCTGAAAGTATTCACATAAAAAGTTCTGTATGTATTAGATTTGGCTATCATTTTAAAAATAATGTCATATCTGTAATATTTAACATAAACTAGTTATAGTTAAAAAAACAACTAAATAACCAATTTTATAGCGCCAAGTGTTCAGTGGCATGTCTTCTAGATTTTTTCACATACTAAAACTTTTTTAATATTTCGAACAAAGTGGACGAAGTCGCAGGTATTATGTACTTTGAAATAAAAAGATTTCCCTTCAGTAAAAGTAATAGCAATTTGTGTAATCGTGCGACTTGCTATTTTTTACCATTACTTTAATATCGTATGATGCAGTACTTTTTTATTAGGATTAACCACTGTGAAGCGAGTAAAATGTAGTTTTAATGAAATAAAACCAATAAATAATATTAAATTATTATTTTTGTACATAAACTGATTTGTTTAAATATTAGAAAACTAATTTTACCACATTTTCTTCATGATACGAGTAGATCTAGAAATAAAACATAGATTATAAACTAACAGAGAAGAGTTAGTTTTATGAGTTTTTATGAAAAAAAATATATATATATTGTTTTCAGGTTAGCGAATGTTGTGATCCCGAGATTCGTGGACGGCTCGGCTCTCTTCCAACCTTATCTATGTCGCTTGGTATACTCATCTCTTATATTGCTGGCAGCTGGCTCTACTGGCGGCACCTGGCTTTTCTGTCTGCTTCATTCTGTGGTAACTTTTAAAAATATAACCATGATAATCCAGCTTCAGAACTATTCAGTAAAGTATATTATCGATTTGTATAGTCCAAGTAAACTTTGGGTTTTTGTTTCCTATTTAGAATACAGTGCAATACACTTTAATGTTACACTTAAGCAAATCAAAATGAACTAGCATTTAATAGTTCTTCTGATTGAAAATTATTATTTATTGTAGGTATCTTTTTACAGAGAAAATATATTAACAGTTTTTTTTTGTGAGCACTGAGTGATATATTTGTTTGTAATTTTAAATGTAAAAACCATTTTTTTAGCGGCATTGTTTGTGGTGTTGTTGCCACTTCCCGAGTCACCAGTATGGCTGAAATCAAGGGGCCTCGATAATACTCCGGCTGTGAAATGGCTTCATTTATCTGAACACGCCATCAAAACTGTTGATAATAAAGAAGAAACCGTTCAGTGAGTAAACATTACAAACTATACAAACGTGCTCTAAAATTTTAATTTCAATCTTAAGTTAATATCTAATACAGAGATATTGTGAATATAGCCACTAAAATGAAAAAAAGTAGCCAACGGCATGTCTGTGGATTTTAAAAAACGGAGATGAGGAAAAAAACGTGAATATAAGCCAGAGGATGGAGCTCTCATTAAGATCCTGCTCTAATTATAGATACTATTGAACAATTTTTTTTTGCATTTTCCTCATTTATTATCAGAGCTTAAGCAACTCAAGGAAGCTTAAGCAACACTTAATCTTTATTTCGTCAAAGTTGGCACCATTGCCGAAAAAAGTTCTTGAGATAAATAATTAATTAAAATTATGATAATTATTCCTTTATCGGGAATAATTTTATTATAACAGATTTGAATAAACGGTATATATATGATTGGATATGTGATGAAATATTTGCCAGACGGACTTTATGAAAATAATTTAGATAAGTGTTCGAGTCCTTAAATATTTTCTATTACAAAGTTTAAACGAAAGTCTAGATTAATTTTAGATTAAGAACCTTCTGAGTTCACATTTATTATAATCACATAAAATTAGATTTTGATAGAAGTTAGTAAAACCCAGAGCTTATCTTTACACTAAATAATAAAGACTTAATAATTTAATATGGGCTCCAATCACAAAGCATATAATAGTTTATGTCTAATATCATGACGAAAAAATACCAATATATATTATTTATAACAGAACGGTGTCCAAGTGGGAAAAAGAAGAGGAACCAAAAAGTCTTTTTACTCGCAACGTTTTCCTTTCATCGTGTGTTATGAAGCCGCTTATTATTGGTTTCTCACTTCTCTTCTTCCAACAATTCAGCGGCATTGACTCCATTATATTTTTCACCGTGGAAATCTTCGAATCTGCTGGTAAATTATATTTTAAATTTTATTCATTCCAACGACACATTTTCAAATTTGTTTTACTATAGTTTTTCAAGAACGTGAAAAAAAACAGATGCTGATACTAAATTTAACCGTTTTTTTTTCAAGTACGTTCGTATAAATTCGTAAGTCAAATGAGAGTGCTACAATAATGTCTTTTCTTTCAAATTGAAGAATGGAAATGTTTTAATGTTAATTTAACTTAGGTGTTAAATATAAAAAGAGCAAAATGTGTAAAAAAGTTTTAAATGAAATGCAAATAGTTTTATGGGCTTAGTCTGCAAATTGATTTCTTTGAATTAATGGTCATTGGTCACTTTATTATGTTTAATTAATTGTTTTTATTCTGTTATATTATTAGAGTATGATATCTTAACTGTCAATCAAAACTTTCAGTTGTTTTAGATATACCTACATCTAGAAAACCCTTCTCGAGATGGTACTTTTGAGGTTTCTTGCTATTAGATTTCCAAAAATGTTTTAAGAAGGCCTTGATATAAGTTAATATATATTAATCTTTCTCTTTTTTTATTATTTTAACAAGGATTTAAACGTATTGCTTATTTTTAATCATTAAATTCTTGTTTCTCAGAAGATCGTAAATTGTAAGTAAACAGGTTTGTTAATTATGTTAGGTGTGAAATGCAAATGATGTAAGACTATTATTCTGAAAGGTTTAATAGCGTTTGTGCTACCCTTTACAAAGACGCAATTTCATATACCAAAGTGGTTTGTAATGATATGTTATTAGGATTTGTTGTTAGGTATTCTGAATGGCTGTCAGGCTATTGTAATATTGTTAATGTAGTCCTCATTTTATTAACGTTATTGTAATACGGAGTAGAGAAATATTAAATTTCATCTTTACAGTAGTTTATATATGAACGAAAATTAAAAAAGACAACAATATTAAGCCCACTTTTTTGTGTTTTCTCTAAGAGAGACGAGATGCATGTGTTATAAAACATTGTGTTTTAATCTTCATCATAATATGACCCTTTCAACATAAAATAATATTTGGGTACTCACTGTTTTTTTATGTATTTTGTTTTGTAAAAAAATTATGTGTATAAAATTTATGTTCATTTTATAACAAGTATTTGGATAGATACTCGTATTATGCAATTTATTTCGCTTTTTACTTTTACGTTTATAAATTTTTAACTGAATTAGTTTTCCTGAGTTCAATATCGTTTAAGAAATTATTTCCTTTTCACTTTCAGTGAATCCAAATTAGAGAGTTATGTGAATTTTATTAATGGGTATCTATTCTAGGTAGCACCCTCAATGCCATGACAGCCACCATCATCGTCGGTGTGGTGCAATTGTTTAGCTGCGGCGTGAGCACTATGCTTGTAGATCGAGCGGGTCGTCGACCTTTGCTGCTTCTCTCATCTGTCATCATGTGTCTCTCAATGTTGTCAATGGGATGTGCATTTTACTTCAAGTTCGAACAAGATTCCATACTTGGGTATGTTTATAACTTAGCACTTTTTGTATTTTTAATATATAACAAATTCAAATATAAATAAACGTTTTCGCATTGACGTATCAAATTAAATAAAAAGTTCAAATATCGTGTTAGTTTTTTTTTTTGCTTTTAGCTAAAATGCTTCAAATGGAAACAATAAAATATATTTATCTCAAATAACTCTTTAGTATATTTTGGTGCGTTGCAAAACATTTGTTGGAAAACGTTTTTAAAATTTAATTCATTGACCCTGGTAGCAAACAATGGATTCTTTATAAAAATGTACACTGGTCGTTTCACAATGCTTATGGATATTCATAAAATTTTTGATGTAAATATAATCACGCGAAAGGGAGACGGGAGTGTTTTTGACGTTAAATTGTGTAATGTATAGCATTAAGTGCAGAGGTCAATAGCACGTCAAACGAGTATGAGAAAACAATACAAATTGCCTCTAACAGTCCTCTCACGTTTTAAATACAATTAACAAGCGGTATGAACATTAAATAATCTAGACATAATTGAAAATCATCAATAAACGTCCTTAAGAATAAGCTATTATTCTTTTGTCTTTAACAGTGCATCGATAATATCTTAAGTAGTTTACAAGTTTTAACGCTTACTGCCAATTACTTTAAATTACCATTTAATACAACTTTTACTTAAGTTTTGAAATGTTTGAAGTAAGTTTTTTAATTGCAAACTAAAATAATACTCAACTTTTTTTAAGTATAATAGTTATGCTTTTGCTTCACTTCTAATTTTCTTTGATAGTTTTTAATTAATTTCATAGCACTACAACAACTTGTAATATTAAGTTCTTTCTTGAAAATTCCATTCCAAATATTTTAACCCATTATCTGGTATATTTTTTTCCATATCGTGTATAATAAGCTTTAATTTTGAAACTCAAATAATGAAATGGTTATAAAAATTAGACGAATATCAAATGAGAATTATATTTTAAAGTCATTTTTACAAACAAACAGTTTAATAGCAGAACTATACTTTGTGTGTAATTTATATTATTATTTGTTATGAGGTAAGTATTTTTATCTAACAAATGGTGTATTTATCGTAGGTACCTGCCGATAGTGAGTCTGGTGGTGTTTATGATCGGTTTCTCTCTTGGATTCGGTGGTCTTCCATTTCTGTTGTTGGGTGAGCTGTTTCCAGCTCATTACCGGTCACAGCTCTCAGCGATGGCCAGCGCAGTCAATTTACTTTCTATGTTCACCGTCATCAAGTCCTACCACGCTTTGGAGGTAAGAAAGATCCTAAACAATTACATGTTTTTATTCTTAAATGTAATATAACAATAACATAAATATATTTTTTGTACGTAAGTCTTTTTAAATATATATATACATCGGTGATAATTCGTAACAAGAATGTCGTTGGGTTGGAAAAATTCTGGGTAAGGATGGTAAATAAAAAAGCTATTCGTGAGTCAATAAAGTTATAGAGAAATCTAAGAGGTAATACAGGGAAAGGTTTAAGATTATTTCCTTTGTAGCTTTTATTTGTTTTATTTTAGTTTCGCTATCCTTCTACGTTCTAGGTTGATCGATATTTAGTGATGAAACTTTTATATATTTTACCAGTTACAGGAGTAACACTATTTTATCTTAGATAATACGAAATGAACACACAGTTTATTGGTATTGATACCCAAAGGTCCTTGTAATATATTTTCGTTAATATAATGAAGTTACTGTTTAAGTTGTTTATTTAATCAATATACATTTTTAACTCACTTAGTATTGAAAAAAGTAGGGGATGTTTAAAATATTAAACGTTTTATAAAATTTGATTGTTACAGTAAAATTCTAAATATCCTTCTGAATTTCGTTTGTAAATTAAATAACAATAAATATCGCAGAGTATTAAATTCAAAACTAAACTAGATTTTGATAAACGCCATTCCTGTTATCGAAGTCCATTTAAAACTCGACATTCGTATTAAAGTGAAATTTATTGATATGTCAGTTACAACGCCATGTTAACAGTCTATGTTAGAAATGGTAATTATAAGTTTTCGTTGCTGGTTCCTAACTCTGAATATACTCATTGCTTGAATGTATATACGAGGAACGAATTCCAAAAGTTGGTAATATAAGTTCAAGAAGTACAATTTTCTTGATATTTCAATATGAAATAGAAACAAAACATTGCTATACTTCAGTTAATTCTAAAGTACTTTGAGATCATAATGATGTTATGGTTATTAATAAATTGGTTATGCGTATATATTAAGTAAGTTACCGAACAATGAGTAAAAACTAAAATAATAAAACAATTATAAAGATGACTTAGCCACAAACAATTAATTACTCTTGGATGTAGGATCAATATTTTAACGATAATGCTGTGATTATAGTTATAAGAGCAGAATATTGTAAGCAAAAAAAAAAACATTGCGAAGATTATTTTGAATAAAATAAAACCATCAAAGATTCGTTTTTTAACCATATTTTATTCATTGCAGCACGTGTTGACATCTGCGGGAACATTTTGGATGTATGGTTGTTTCTCTGCCCTGGCCTTTGTTTTCGTCCTTACAATGGTGCCAGAAACCAAAGGAAAATCTCTTGCTGAAATTGAAGAACATTTTCGAGGCAAGAAGCTTAAGGAGACGCTTGATTTAAATACGATACAGACAAAATTTTAACTTACTTAATGTACATATGAGCATAATTTAGCAAAACTAAAGTGATTATAGATATTTTTCTAACCTTAATGTACATATATGTATGAAATACATGTCCCATACTGTTAATGCGTGTTTGAGGTAAATGAAACTGTGATATAAATGCTATTTAAGAAATAATGATTATTGCATTTCTTAAAACAACCTTTTATTAGGTACGAGTACATTCTCTCTCTTTTGTTAAATTTTATCGTTTTTTAATCTTATAGTTTATCTAATAATTCTCGAATATTTATTTAGTAAATTGTGTGGAAAAATCTTTTATTAAAATGGTGCATTATTATTATTCTTATATTATTTAATTTATATAATAACTAAGTATTAAATAGGATAATGTTTAAAGTACTCAATACAAATGAATGTATAAAATTATATTATTTAATTTAATAAGAAAATATAACTTTATTTATACAGAAATGAATATATTAAAATTATTATGATATACTTTTTTATTTCATTTTCATCCAAAGTTTATGAATTATAGCGATAGCGATATAGTGTAACTCACGTTATAACTTATTTTTAAGGCACTTTCTCAACAGTGCCTAAAAAATACTCAAAAGAAATTGATGCGTCGTTGTGATACTATTTGACTAAGTAAATAGTATTTTTTATCTGTGAGAAATGTCAACTTACTGGATCGTGTGAGGGCGCTAATGAACGGCTGTTGCATCACCGCGCAAGAACACATGGCATGGCTTGGACTCGTGACGGTCGTTCGACGTATAACATTAGATTAATATTTACTTTAACTACTGACGAACATGTATTAATATATAATTTTATATTTAGTTCCACGAATATATAAAGATATAACAATCTTAATATAATTATTTAGTTACTGCAGAAGCTTTGACAAAAACTTCTTCAGTAAAATTCAAATTCTCTGATTTTCTACACTATAGTTTATTTGAAAAATAAAAGTGAAGCTATCTTATTTTAGATAATATGTATAAGTCTGAAGAAACTTCATGTGATATGTTCTAGAATAAAATAAATAAACAAGAAAAGACATGAGTAGTAACAAAGCCGATTATATCAAGACTTATGACACAAATATATCTTATTGGACGTAGACTTGCATCCTGACTCGGATGCACGAAATTAAACTAATACACGAACTGCGTGCACTCTTCGTGGATTGTTTTATATTGATACGACATTCACTATTACTAAACTGACTATATAAGACTGGATACCAAGAGTCAAATGTATTAGAAATCCTAAACCCAATTAAGAAACAGCGGTTTGGACAACTTAATCTTAAAATTAATTTTTTTTATATTAAATAACACAAAAAATGATTTTAGTAAGAGCGTTTATTGATATATTTTATTTCAATAATACACTAAACATTTTGAATTTTAGTTTGATTTTCTATAATTCTTTTCCAGAGTCTCTGTTTGGCCGTTCTAGTTGTGACCTCAATAACATGTGAACCGCCAGTAAACAGTTATCTACCTCCTGGAGGCAGCAGTGGTTCCAGTGGAAGGCCTTCTTCCCAATATGGTCCACCGGGTTCCAATCAAGGAAGATTTGGAGGTGTTGGTTCTGGTAGAGGCCGGCCAGGTGAAAACTATGATCAGTCTGGAAGATCTTTGGGATCTCCTTCTTCTGAATATGGGGCTCCAGGAGCTCAGGGATTCCAAGATGGTTCACAAGACCAACAGGGACCAAATTCTCAATATAGAACTCCGAACCAAGGCGGCTCCGGAAATTTAAGAGGACCTGCTAGTGGTCGTGGAACTCCTCAAAGACCCGATTCTTCATATGGAACTCCATTACAAGGATTTCAATCTGGCGACCAGAACAATTTCCCTGGACAAGGCGGTTTTTCTGGACAAGGCTCTAGCAGACCTGGAGTGTCACCGTCTTCTTCTTATGGGACCCCTGACTTCGGTAATGGTAGAAATATTGAAAATGAAAGTTATCGTAGCTCAGGGGTAGATGAATCAAATGTAAGTTATTGTTAAAATTCAATTAATTTTCATATTTTCGGAAATTATTTCGTATTTTCTATAAACTTTTAGTATTTATTTTACAAAACAAATTTTATCAACAGGGGCCAGCTAAGTATGAATTTAGCTATGAGGTCGACGATGCGGAAACAGGTACTATGTTTGGTCATTCAGAACAGCGTAATGGTGACTTGACTACAGGACAATACAATGTAGTCTTACCCGACGGTAGGAAGCAGGTGGTAGAATATGAGGCCGATCAAGACGGCTACAAGCCTCAAATAAGATACGAGGGTTTGTAATTGTACACAGAGCATAGCTCTTATATTTTATTCCAGTGGGTATAGTATCCAATAATATATGTATCCATTATTTAAATCACTTTTATTCAAAATCCATAGAAGTATGTTTATAATAGCAAAATAATAAAAGCAATAACAATTTTTAGGTGCAGGACGAGGTGTTGGAGGATCTGGATTTGGACAGGGTAAAATATTTTTTTGTGAAGCATCTCTATTGTTTAAACCATCATATATATTTTGTTGTTTTCTTTGAAGGTGGAAGAAATGGTGGACAGGGATATCCCGGCGTTGGTGCAAATGCTGATGCTTTTGCAAATGCTCAGTCTGGAGCGCAACAAGGTGGAAATTACCAATCAGGGTTTGGTGACGGTTCTGGAGGCGGCTATCCAAGTGGCAGACCAGGTAGCAGCGGTGAAGATTTCTTAGGAAATCAAGGCTTTCCGGGTTCAGGAAGTGGGAGTGAATATCCACGTGGATCAGGAGGATCTAGTTTTCCGGGTCGATCTCAAAGTAACTTCCCCGGTCAGCAAGGGAACCAAGGTTATTCGACAGGACCTCAAGGAGCTGGAGGTGCGCCTCGTGGTAGTGGACGTGGACCCAATGCTGGTGGTGGTGGCAGTGGAGAAGGATATCCCAGTGGCGGACCAAACGGACAACGGGGCTCCGGATATTGAATGTTCGCAATATAAGTTTGACGATATATCATTTTGATTCCTGGATTGCTGTATGGATTGTAAATAAATATGTTTCTTGTATCTAATATCTTTTTTCATTATACTTCGGAATAAATACTAATTGTCTGCCACCGATACAAATATATCTCTATTCAAATAATACTTTGTAAAACCCCTTGTGAAGAGACGAGATGTTTTTTTGGTATTATAATATTTTGTTTACAAAAAAACTGAAAAACTATTTAAGCATGTCGTTTATACGACGGTAAAAAGTATTGGAAAGTAAATTTACTTAACGTTTCAATTGTTTAAAACTCAATTATTAATAAAAACGAAAAGACATGAATCCATTACCAAACAAAATTACACCGCAAATAAACAGGTTTTCTTTTATTACAAAATGCAATGTAACAGTTTCAACAAAAAAAAAATCATTGTATTAGTAATTAATTAAGCATTTACAACTTTTGTTGAATCATGTATGGAAATGCTGACAGGCTTTGTAAATATCGATTTTAACGAAGTTTTTGTATAAGGTAAACCCCACAATGAAATCATTAATAGATACATTAATTGATAGCTCTTGTTCTCGTATTTAAATGTATGGTTTTAAAAATTTGATGACCTTAGCTAACAACAAAAGATTACTTAGGGTACTCAATACCAAAATAAATATTTATTTTGATTTGTTCATATTTTTCTTATTTGTTAATAGTTTTTCTTGTATCTCCATAAAAATGTTGATATCAATAAACTTATAAAAGACAGATTTATAAAAATATTTAACTCTAAAGGTTATTATTTATTTCAAACATAAAAATATAACTAGAAGGTGGTAGAACCTAGCTGTGTTCAGTTACTACAGCTCAAACATGGGCTGCCTCGACCGGGGAAGTACCACCTTCTAACAGAAGATCAGTGTGAAGTAGTCTTTAATGACTGCGTTCCGTGAGATAACACACCCGGTTTGTTCTTACCCTGTTTCCCCCTTGCCTTCCATTCCTTATACCCTCCCTTTCCCGTTCCTCAAGAACCACGGTTGACAAAGCAAGCCCAAATGGTAATTTAATTTGATTAATAAAATTCTAAAGTATTGTAAGTACAATACCTTGGAATTTTGTGATTAAGAAGTAAATAACAATGAAATGTTTCAGCATTGAAATAGTAATTTATTTTTATGAAAATCGTTACAAAACATTATAGAACAGTGAAATTATTTGCAGTCATTAATATCAGTGTCCATAGTGAGAGTCTTCCTATTTCTAGAAATACAATTCAATATTAATAATTAATGAACTACATAGATGTTCAACCTCATTAAATTTATATTAACATATTATGACATTTAATTTATTATATGATCTTTAAACGCAAACACAATGTTTACGTTTTAGATGTTTTATTAATAAAAAGTCATCATTTATCTTTATAAGCTATAAGATTATAATATGAACTCGACTGTCTTATTAAACGGATTCGTTAGAATGCAAACTTCAGCTATTAGCTGTATATGGAAGAAGAAATATTAGGCAGTTTATTTTAGGAAGTACAAATGCAAGTTTTTCTGAAATATTTTTTGTTATGATCAGAATATATACAACATATTTATTTTTAATAACAAAAGTGGTTTAGTGCGAAGTAACCATTCATTTAAGAAATAAGTTCTTAGCGTTTTACTTCGGTCGTGAAAAGACTTTTGAATAACTTTTTATATAGCAAATATTATTCTGATGTATAATATTTTATTATTACTTTTAAGTTAATAAGAATTATCCCTGGGAATAAAACTTAGGTTGAGTCCAAATTTTCACAATTTTATCGAGTTTATTATGAAAGTTTTTATAACTTCATATATTATTAGTTAGGATTTGGTCTAAAAAATATTCTATGAATGATAAAGAATTTTCTTACATTTTATTTTAGAACACCTGGTTACTACTTGGCTACCTGATATCATTCTCTCGTAAAACTCACACTCGCCTAGTCACACCGTATTAGCTAGATAGTCATAAGAGCAACAATACCAAGTTTAAACAATATAGCTTCATTACAACTCCAGACTGTAGTTTTCAAAATTATAAGAGCAGCTTTCGAAGTGCATCTAGTTCATTTTCTAAATTTTCAAAATGAAGTAATCTATTTTTTGGTCAGTGTGCATATTTAGATGGGAATAGCTTTAACGAGAAGAAGAAAACATGTTCTTTGATACAAGATTAGGCTACTTTTTGAAAAGCCATTTGATTAAGAGCCGGTATTAAAGAGAAGGTCGTAATTATTCAAATAGACAACGTGATGAATTTGTAGTTGTAAGTTATAAATTATACATACATATATGTGTCAATATAAAAATTTAAAGACTCTTAAATAAAACAATTCTCTTAGAGATTATATAAATAAAAGTTATAAGCTGCTAAATTATCATTATAGTATTATTTTCCTGGATAGTTTTCACAAACATACCTGTATGAGTCCTGTAATAAAACAAAGGATTCTTTGAATGTAAGAAAATTACTCAAATTCCATACAAACATCGTAGAATGTTATTTCAATAAATAGAAATGTTCTATTATATGTTTTAAAGATATTCCATTTCTCTTCCTATTTATACTCATAAAATTATGTTCTATGCCGTTAAAAGATATAAAATCTTGCGATAGCTTTATGATAAAACATAAATGTATTATACGATTTCTAATTATTATTTTGTTTGCTATTAATACTTTTTGATTTATTGGGATATAGTTTTGAGAATAAAAGGATCGATTGCAAGAAATTGTAAAAAAAACAATATCACTACCTATGATAGAAAGATGTGAGTCAACAGATTAATAATAAGTATCATCCTAAATGCATAATTGAAATGCATTACAATATATTTACTGAAAATATCACTTTTAAAATAATTTAAAAATATAGTCTTTATAATAATTACAAAAAATACAATAACATAAATCTACATAATAATGGAAATAAAATCCAGATGGACGGCTTTTTCATTGAATCGCCATCTGAAAAACGTTAAAAGAGTGTATTAATAATCAAAATATGTTATTTTTCTTAATAATATTAATATAAATGTTTTTCTGAAATACCTGTCATAATATTGTTTTGGGACACAGCTGTAGGAATGATATTTTGATATGAGTTCTCCTCAAAATCCACCATTTTATCAAAATTATCTTCAGAATTAAATGAAAACGGATCCTGATCCTGAATTTGTAGGATATGTCGGATTACCTCGTTTTGATAAAGAGGTGCGATTGATGCTTGACACTGAAATATAAAGTTTATATGAAGATAAATTTATATATAAATAATAACATTGACTTAAAGTAGAAACTAATTCGTTTAGGATAGAAAGGGATAGTAATTATCGTAATAATCGTAAACAGCTGTATAAGAAAAAATTGAACTCGATATTTCAGAAATCACAAGTTCCATTTTTGCTATCATGTCTATATACATCAATTACTTTAAATATTAATTTTAGGCTTTTTTAAATATTAAAAAAACATAATTTTAATATCTGTAGTGACTTCTAAGGGTAAAATTCTAATCTTAGTCTAAACAATGAAGTCTGAAAACATTATTAAAATACCTACGAGATCTGACCATTTATTATGAGAAAATTAAAATATATTTATATTAGCTCTTCTAGCAATGTAATATTGATAAAATATTATGTAACTATAGCTGCTGCTAACCAAACGAAACGAACCTGGCCGTAAAAACCAGAAGATTTTTGATACCACATATGAATATGATGGTGTTATTAAATTATCATAGGGGCAATCATATTTTTAATATAATATGTTTCTAAGCAGCTCCGTAGTTTTCCTGGAATCTCTGGCTGGCCGAGATACGAATCCTATATAACTTATTCTTGTTAATATTTTTTGATATTAAAATAGCGTAGTGATACATTAGGTAAAGAACCAAATACAATTTTTGAAATCTTCCATACTTTTGCTTACAGTCAAATGTTTATATACACTGTACTCATATCATACTAATTAAAAGATCTGGTTATCCTCGTAATGTTACTAGAAAAAAAGCGATCAAAGCAATAAGGCTAAGAATTTATCTCGGAGGATAAAGATAGAATGTAAGACCATGCCTCGTATATTATAAGACGACTTAAGACTTGCAGCCGGTTAGATACGCACTGGTGATTTCTTTTTCTGATAATTTAAAAGAGAATAGGATAGCGAAATGATAATTTTGTAAACCTTAAATAATCTATACGATTGGCAATAACAAAATCTCGCATACAAAGAGTTGATCCCTTTGATGGCTGGCTTTAATTTTTAATCGTCTGTATTGCAGCCAATAGATACCAATTCAAACAACATTTTTTTTTTATTTTTTTTTGTTTTTGGTAGTATATAACTTTTGGTGACTAACTCACTGTAATAGAAGAATGCTTTTCTTTATAAAAATATTTCTGGCAAGAATAAGTGTATACACAGAAATATGTATGTATGTAGAATTCTTATTCTCAATTTAGAAATAGAACAAAGTAAAAGACAAACAATGCATAAAACATGAGTTTGTAACAGAATAATAATATATTTTTAATGGATAACTCTAAGTATTTTTATACTTTAGAAAAGATAAACAAACTATATTACATTCATATTATGGTATTCTCTTAGAATTAAAAGAGGAAAACAAACAAGCATGGCAATTGCCACGGGATTAAGTCGACGTAAGTCGAGATGCAAGTGTTTTTAACGTCTGTTAACATTGGGGTTGCAAAATAATATAAACATCATTCGTCGGATTAAGTGAATTAAATAAAAAATGTATATGTTTTACTTATACAATATCAGTTAAATATTTTTATAACGCTTGAATGTAATGTGTAAGAAGTTTTGAGATCACTTACTTTGAGTGTGAGTACTCCTTCACGAAAATGCTTCTGCGATAATGTTAAATCAAGTTCAAGGGTTGTTTCTCTTGCGTCCGCTCGTTCTCTTGAGATTCTTTCCCATGGACCTCGTAAATATTCAAAGCTCACAGGTTGGTCATTTATTAACCACTTAAGCTGTGTCCTAGGACGCGATCTCGATGAAGTACAATTCACAACGAGCCTGTCACCTACTTTGTATTCATTGTTCAAGTCAGACAGTCGAGGACCACTGTTAGGGAGAACTAGAAGAAGCGATCAATGTTATAGAGATTTAATTTCACATAATTATAACGACGAATACCAAGTCAAAATCTTCGAAAACCTACAGAAGCAATAATTTAATTTCATAACTTATAAAGAAGCTTTAAAAATGTCAGTTTGGTCGAATTGTGATCAATGAGCATAAAATTGTAAGCGACAATTTAATTCTACTATAGGTAGTAGAATCAATACCAGGATCTAGTAATACATAGATCGTGAATTTAAATAAAAATATGAATAACTTTTGTTTATTTTTTAACTTACGATGGATAATAATATCTTTTTCTGCAGACACCGTGACAAAATATGGGGCTTCTCCTGATACCTCGCAGCGATAGCGGCCAGCCGACTCCTGAGTCAATTGGTCTAGGGCTACAACTGTGCTTGCTGATTTGGTTAACTATAAAAAATACTATAAATTACAATACAGTAAAAATAATGTAACTATTTAGACTAAAGTCTAAAATATATAACGACAAACAAGGTCCATTACTCGTACTTCACATGTTTATTATTATTATTTTTTATTATATAATTTCTTTTGGCTCCGCATACGTGACTATTATTTAAATATAAGATAATTTATGATAATTTCGTGATTATGTTACAACTTTTGGAATTCTATTAGCTGTGATTAAGGTCATAGTTACCAACTTTCTGGTCTTCATCGCCGTCCGTTTATAACAAAGGAACTTGAGACCAACTTTGTCGGACTCGTAAAGGACAAACGAATTACAATAAAATAAATTTCCTTGAAAATTCTCTCAAACTTAACTTGTAAAGTTAAACCACTACAACATTAAAGAAAATTTATGCCAATTAATCTATTAATTACTTGTCTTTCTAATTCTATTCATATTTTTGTGGTACAAAGTAATAATATTTATTATAAATTGAATAATACGAATGAGTTAGCGTTTCATTACCAACCTCGGCTTAAAAAATCCTGCAACGGTTCGAATGGATTTTTATGTTTAAAAAGATATAAGGTAATAGTTTTTTATTTAAATATACCAACTGTTTTTCTCTGCATTCATAACTTTCAATATAATGAACAGTCGGGAGTCTGGTGAAAAAATTGCCATTATATTTGTTTCACCTAAATATATTAACAAGAAGAAACATTAAATTCTTTGTAATATCACATCCAAATAAGATTTCCTTTGGATTTGAAAAAAACAGTAATTTAAAAACAAGATAAATTTGACGAAACAAAATTTTCGATGCACAGTCATGAAAAACGTAAATTTAAAAGAGTTTTATGAATCATGAGTAGTTTTTATTGTCTGCAGAATATTTTTGATTCTATAAATACTTAATCTTAAACTTCCAGAACAGTTAAAATATTCATATTCATGAGACGGCTTGGGAGTCTAATAACACAAAGAGAACTAATGTAGCAATGACACAGTTTTAAATATAACCGCCTACTATAATAGTATTTTCTAGTTCCATTTCGTATCTAGACATGGGGATTGTATGAAAAAATTTTTTATTACTTCTTTCCATCGATTCTTTGAAATTCTCATATTACATATATAACGTCAAATCTATAAATTCTTTGTTGTCAATCTCTTTTTAGAAGCCGCAATGTAATAATATTTTTTGTTATTATATATGTATTTTAATTAGCTTGATATAAATTTTGTATATTAACATATTAAATTAGATTGTCTATTTTGTGTTACAAATATATTATGCCTTAATTGTCTGCAGTTAAATTCATTTCAATATTCTTATTTTCTCATAATTAATCCACATTAGTAATAATATTGGTGAAAATTTCAATTAAATAGAAAAGAATTTATGTAATCTTCTATATATATAAAAATGGATTGCTGTTCCTTAGTCTCGCTAAAACTCGAGAACGGCTGAACCGATATGGCTAATTTTAGTTTTAAAATACTCCTGGAAGTCCAGGGAAGGTTTAAAAGGTGAGAAAAATTGGAATAATTGCCGGGAAAACCCTAAAAACAGCCCTTTTCTATTTCCCATACAAACGTTTTTTTTGACATTAGATTTGACAACTAACTAATATGTCAATCATTCTGTTTGATTGAAACAGGAAAAACCTGATTATTTATGGCCTCTAAGACGGAATAGAGTTCGCCTGGTCAGCTATACCTACATATATTACTCTTGACCAAACTAACGCGGACGAAGTCGCGGGGAAAAACTAGTAGACAATAAATATAATATATGACATCACATAAAATTATTTATATCCTTTTTGTAGTCTTTTCTCTAGTGAAATAGAGGTACAAAATATATCTATTATAATGTTAACGAAGCCGTGGAAAATATCAAGTCAAAGATTTAAAAAGGCACAACGGATGGCATTGAATGGAAAAGTTTTGCTCCATAGAACTATTTATTACCCTTAAATTCATTTATTTACGAGTACTTTATGAAAGCATTTTCTATACTAATAAACTATAAAAGTGGATTTGTAATACTGTAATATTAAATAATTTCACAATTAATATAAAACGTATAAAGTCAGAGCTTAGTAAAGTCTCAGCGATATTATAAGAGACCCAACCACAGCTTGACTAGGTATATTATTTCTTTAAAATTTTATTTCAAACGAATAAAATATTGTATAGAAATACTATAATATTCATGTAGGGTTCATTTTATTATTATCCTATAACTTGCGCTTGTGAAATACACTATTTTTAGTAATCTAAGATATAGCTGTATATGATTTGAGTGCAATCATCTCTCTATCTTTCTCAATCTCTAGCAGAAAGTGCAAATTTAAAATTTTTATTGCTGAATAAAATCGCGTTGTTTATTACAGAATCATATACTATCATATCTTATTTTAATAGCTTGAAGTGTATCACGAATATTCTGATGACTCTTTTTGAAATAATCTATATCTTTCTAATTCGTCATTGTCTTGAACTCATTTAGACGTTGACTTGCATCTGGTGGCAGTATGAGTAAACAGTATATATAAAACCGATTAACGATAACCTTGCTGACGTATAAATGAGCCATAGTGATTTCATAACCGTCTAATTTTGTTATGAAGAACGACAAAATAATTTCCAACAAAGAAAAAATGTTTCAATTTTAAATATATAAGATATACTCGTGACAAATTAAAAGCATCTTATATTTTAAAATGTGTTTAAATGTCTGAGTATCTTACTAAAGCATTAGATATTATGAAAAATATACATTCTTTCTTATATTTATTAAGAGTACGCGTACACAAGGGCGCATCACTTATATACGAGTTTTACTAGTTTTTAATCATACATTTACGCTCTTTAACGTAGGTTAATTAATAATAATAGAAAAACTTCCCATATAGTGTGATGATATAAGCTTGTGCTAAGTGTATACATATATTTTGTTACGGTAAGTGCCGTTCAAAATCAAATAAGAAAGTAACTAATATTTTTCAAAGAAAGTTTACAACTTACGTCAACGAACACGCCTGGCATGGTGAAATAGATGGATGGTTCGGAGTTTGATGGTATAAAGCGGTAGAACTCCCGGCCATCTTTATACCATTTGACAGTATATAGATCATCGCCCTCTAGATCGTATTGGCAGCCGAGTAACGCCTGTCCACCCTCTGCAGCATGACCGGGTACTCTCAGCTCTAATATGCGTATGCTTTCAACAAATGCTGTAAAAATAATATGTGTGCTTTATTATGATAGTTATAGTAACATGTAGAAATGTTTCTAGGTATTAATGCTTTCTGAATATTAAACTATGTTTTTCGGTTATAGCTAAGCAATTTTATTATTTTATTTCTACATTTTTCCGATTTTTGTCTTATCAGATACTTTAATCTCGTCTGCTCGCGATTACGGTTGCTGCAAAGTTATCGAAACGTCGGGAAAATGTAAAAATATAATAATAAAATCGCGTAGATACATACGAAAACATTGTTATATTTTAAATATGTAAATCCTAGATATCATATTATTTTTTTAATAATATATATATGTTCTGATGTGGATTTTATTGAAACGGTGTCATTTAATTATAATTAGTATCCCTCTTTAAAGCTTTATTGCGTTTATGAGAAGTTATACTTGGAGAACATTTTAAAAGTATAATTTTATGTATATAAGTCTAAGCAATCGAAATAGATGAAACCGTTTAAAGATTTTATTGTTCAGTAACGTATTCCAGACTTATTTGTCTATTTATGATGTCAATGATCATCATAGGCAAATAACCGGAGAGTTATTATTGAGGTGGGTGAAGGTTCTGAGCTCCTTTTTAGATTTTATTAAAGTGATTATGGCTTTGCATTTTCAAACAAATCAAGAAAATAAGTAATCCAAAAGGTGTCTAAAATAACATTGAAGTATAATACTTTTATTTCTTCTGAAGCTCAACACAATTAACTTAATCGGATATTAATAATTGCTCAAAATTAAATTATATTTTTTTATATAGAGATCTATTTACGAGCAAAGTTAATAGAGCCTTTTTAAAAATAAATCTTTCAACCTACTTCATAGATAATGTTTACTTAGATTAACGGTTTTATTAATATAGAACTTTACTTGAAACTAGTAAACACTGGCATTATTATTTATAAATATTTATTTTGAACGCTTCAATCTGCACTTACTAAGAATTATAGGCAAAATAGTTAATCTGCTGTTAAAGGTAAAAAATATATACTATTAAAAACTAACTAATCTTCTTGTTGGTGATTTTTTTTGCTATTTCCTTTTCAAAACCGTTTATAATCATTTATTTAGGAATTACCTATATACGTATTGCGTTGTTTTTTAAAACAAAATAAGGATTGCTGTTTGACCTTTAGAATTTAGGTCCTATAGGTATAATGATTTTAGAACACGCTGTATAACAAAATAAGACCTTTAATATTCACAACAGAATAATATTAAAAATGAACATTATTACATTATGGTGCTGGAAGTATGAAAACTGTTTTGTTATTTTCTAACCCTTTGACTAAAAGAAATTACAAAGTAACCTCGGTCGGTATTATTCGCTGTAGGAGTAGTTATTAGAAGTTAGAATTTATATATAAAATGTTATTCCGCTTGATACTATCACAAGAAGGAATCGTAGAAAAGGCAACTAAAAGGCTTTAGCATTATACGCTTTAAGGAAAAATGTTTGGTTTTATAGTTGTTTATAGTCCTGACCGAACCGTTGGAGTTTTGTTTTGAATTGTTCCAATTTTCATTCATATTTTTCCTCAGTACGCAGCTTTTTACTGGCAGTAAAACGTGAGGAGACTGCAAGATATTTAAAGTTGAAAAGTCAGCCGAGTTGTTTTCCACAAATAACAGAGGATATCCACATAAGTTTTAAATTATTGTTTATGGTTACGGCTGCAGAAGATCATAAAGTTTGTTTAGACTTTCCCTTATCAATATGAGACGTATTGAAAATAAGATAATTTATTACTCACACAAAAATCTGTAAATTAATGAAGAAGTTTGTAATTCTTGTTGTTGTATGGTAATTTATACAATAATATTATTGCGATGTTACTCTATAAAACTCGTAAAAAAATCGGTTGATATAACTTTGATATTTCGCTCTCTGTAATTCTTAATGTGTATACATGGGTTTATTAATATACTCCGTACATATACAAAGCCTTATAATTTTTTCTTTACATGCAACACGTGTTCGAGAAAGTATATATATTTAAACAAAATTCATTCCGTGGGTGTATAATTTTTACAGCCTCTAATGTATAGAACTTATGCAGTAATCTTCATATATAGTAAAAATTATGTTTAATAATAAAAAAAATATTGTGGTTATCCTATAAAGAGTGTTTAAACATGCGAAAATACGTTAAGTATTAAAAGTTGATATAACAGTATAACAGCCTTGTAAGATCTTATAAACATACATTTATATTTATTTATTATAGAACTAATTTGAATATTTAATAAACAGTTATTTTTCACTGACGCATTTGTACGTGAAAATCAGTAAATATTTTAATGCTATAGCTTATTATATGTGTAGGAGGATAAATAAAGATAATTAATTGTTCTCTCTAAGATTTCATCATAAAGTTGAGCTAAACTTCTCAGTAATTTAATTTTCAGAACACAATAATAACAGAAATATTTTACCTTGTCCCCATAACATCAAAATTAACAAAGCACTGCACATTTTGCTATAGTATTGTTGCGAGTAATTCACTGGGATACAATTTTCAGTCTCATTGCACTTTACTACAATATTTATGTTAATTAAACTATAATAAATTGCATGATCTGTAGAGAAATTTTAAGGTTATTATGTGTCGTTTGTTGTATCGGAAATAAAATAGGACAGGGATACTTGCGGAGTGCTATATTTAAATCGCTCGACGCGTACGCATGCGCACTGTTAGCGAATTTGCTTCGTGTCATAATTGTCGTGTTTGCGTGCTGAGGAAATTAGAATTTAATATACAACTATTGATAATCATATTACTATAATACTTGTTGAAGGGGAGGCATTTTCATTGTTAGGAATTGAACTTTAATATGTATATAAAATTTAGTTTATTATAATATTTTGTATACTATACTTTTTTTATACTTAACATTCAAAAGTTGACAGATTTAATTTTTTGTTTTAAAGAGTAAGAATTCTCGTATTTTTTATAAAACAAATAATAATTAAAGGAAATTCAATTAGGGTCGATTAATTTAAGAAAAAGACTGAACTAGTTTTAACACAATTGGATTAAATTTAATCTTCTTCATTTCTTAGCAATTACAGTTAATTAATGGATCTATTATTATTATTAAGTCAGTGGTGGCTCAGTGGTTAAAGGGTCCGCCTCTCGGCCTCTCGTCGCCGAGGGCGCGGGTTCGATCCCGGCCCGGGCAAGTACCAATGTGATTTTTCCGAATCATATGTACTTTCTAAGAGTATTTAGACATCACTGATTCATGTTGATTCCCAAAAAAGGGTTGATGTCAGGCAGGCGGCCGGTCGTAAAAACAAATAGCCAAAAACTATTCACAACATGTAAGGCAGACCCTGGCTATAGCTGGGAAATTGCCAGGTAGAAGAAGAAGAAGAAGAATGGATCTATTATTATCATTTTTAATATTAATACATTTTGACGTAAACAGGGTGACTGGTGAATTACTATCAATATTTAAGGAGAATACTCGGTACATGATTCTCATTCGAATTATGTAAAAAAAATAGGCACTTAATTTTTGACAAAATTTCCGTAATATTAAGTAAAGTGTTGACACGTTCCAAATGTTCAAGTGTGGACGCGTGCGGCGACGTGCTGATAGAACACTACGTCACGACACGCGTATGTGTGAGTGTCAGTGTATACCTAATCTGTAGGGTGTTCACACGATGCGTAATTAATTACACAACTTTTGGTTAACTTTACTTAGAAGTTTATTAATATTTATGTTATATTAATTTTTATTTTGTCATATATGATCGTCAAATATCACGTCCTCAAATATCGATAGTAATTCACCAGTCACCCTGTATACATATATTTATAAATTTTCATAGAAAATTATAAGTTAAAAGTATGGAAGGTGGAGGCTAATTCCCGTTGGAAAAGGGGTGACGTGTAAAGAATTTAATAATGTTTTATATCAGTGACTCACATAAAACTCAGTGTTGTTTTTTTCTTACTTATTAGAATAACTTGGGGTAAAATTAACATCGTCATACGATAAGAATTTATTTAACAGGAACTGTTATCGAATTAAAAAGAAATGAACAAACAATTAAAATGTCTTTTAAATGATTTTTCGGATACTTTACGATTATTATAATTTTATATCTACATGATTCCAACGTTTCGGTTCCTTTACAGCAAAAGGGTACACGAACCGTAAAGGTATGCGGAATTCGGTAAAAGCACAGAGACTTCGGGATCATGTACATATGTAGATATAAAATAATAAAAACTTAGTTTAATTTAAATATGCACTTGCGAAAAACTTAGATATGAATAAATTTTAAATAGATACAGGATTTAAATATTTAATCTAATAGTATCCAACTGTGTATTGTAGGAAAGGAATATAAAAATGATAAAATGAGTTTCTATTGTTGTTTGTTAGTTTCATTGTTTATATTTATTGGATTTGACTGGATTGGATTGGCTTAATGTTCTGGCAAAGAGTATTATTATTATAAAATACAATAAATAAACGATCTGTAACATTGTTATTATTGGCGTTCTATTAATTTTAAGCATTAAATTAGGTCGAAACCAAAGCAAAGATTTCATATACACAGTTAATATTTATAACAGATGAATATTCAGTTACTTAATTATTTGCTTCATATTTTAATAACTATATTATAATTGCAATGAACAGGAAAACGGCCATCAGTTAATCTGTTTTTCGGTACAGAACGTTTAATTTAAAAGTCAGAGTTGTACGGTTTTTTATTTAATATCAGACAGCTTAATTTAATGAATCATATTTTATTTCAGTGAACTACTAAATAAAAGAATTCGCCGACGATTCGACATTTTATTAAATTTGCAAATAATATGTAAAATTTTAAGCCACTTTTAATTTTCCGTTGCTTCTTTCAGAAATATTATTGTAATAAAAGTGGTTTTAAGATGGATTTTTTTCTATTTTACCAACATAAAAAATGTATTGAATATTCAAACGGTTCGGCAAAGGTTATTTAATTTCAATTTATTTGTTCTTTATTATTTTTGCAAGCATATCGCTTCGTTCGGATACTAAGAAGATCTATAATGTAAAATTGAGGTCTGCTAGGCGTCTGGTGAACCGCTGGTAATAAACTAGTAACTTAAAAACAAAGGAAAACAGAGAGATAAATAATTCCGCCTGATTTTTGACTGAAAAAATCTAAGTAATCATTATTTTGATGTAGTGGTAAAAATAAGATAAAGAAGTAGTTTTTGTTGGAATTCAATACATTATTTTTACGCGTGTCATAATAATGACTAGAAATTTGAGAAAAGACACAATATATTACTTCTATTCTAAAATTATATAAAATAGTAAAATTAACTTTTATTCGTTTTGTTTAAGGTTCTTATACTTGACACTTTCTATAGTTGCGAAGACAAAAAGGCTGCTATAATATTTTGTTAACATTTACATTTATTGCTTTTACCACTTAGACATCAAAATTATGTTCTTAGAATTATTCAATTTACCTTTACTGATGCTCTGTTTGAATCTGATGCTTTTTTTACTTAAAAACATTAAAAAATGTTGACAATTTAAGTTATATATACATCCATAATCTTAGCGGCAGAAAAGTCTGCTTGATATAAAAATCGACAGTCTTAGAAGGATGTAGCTATAATTTACCAATTTCACAAAGGTGCCTTTATCTTGATGAACAAACTCTAAACTCTAAAGTCTTGGGAACCTAAATTTCGAGACCTTTACGGCCATCACACGGTTGTTTAGACTATCCATTAGCTAGTACCTCTACAGTCTTAGTGGACTCCCAACATTCAATCTTATTAATTACATGGTCAGTCTTAAGAGAATATTATTGAAACTTGTACAAAACTTTTTAAGTATATTTTAGGTTAGAACAAAAGGAAGTCATAAAGCTACTTCAAAAATATTTCCCTATGTACCAAAAAAAATATAGCAGCAGTCATCTGTGGGAAACCGCCAAAGCAAAGTATATATGTACATTATCTACCTTATCTACTTCCTTAGATCCTCTATTTTATAATACAGCAAAAACAGTCGTGCGCAATTTCATATTAAAAAAATAAAAACATTTCTGGCGATTCTTGAACGACCCTAACTTGTGAGTACACAACCCTTAATTATAGTCATCATGACACTAAAAAGTATAACTTTAGTAAGAAGTTCAAAGAGCTTATCGAACGATGGCATTATTATATGAAATGAAATGAGATATTATAAAATGTGATATTACTGAAATTGGAGTGGCGATACATGAATAATATCTTTATTAAGAGGTTATTTAGAGGTGCAACTTATTTATGCTGTGTTTGATGTAGTACATATTTATTACTAAAAACCTTTCTCAAATGTGTTATCTTTTTTTATTAAGATGACAAGTTATCTCATTTGGAACTTGTAACCTTATGTAATAATTTTGACTTGAGTGTTGATAAATTATTCTTGATCCTGTAATTGTAGAACGGAGGCTGTTTCTTCAGTAAAGGTTTGTATAAAGGACTGCTCTCTAAGTCTATCTTTTAAGCAGTACTACGAGACTAACAATATGTTGTATCATCATGTTTGTAAATTTTGAGCCTTCATAATCCTACAGATTAAAACGTCTCTAACTAGGAAATACAGATCGCGTTTCATGTGAAGAGAGAGATAATTTAAGGTTCTACAACTGAGAACTAAAACAACATGTTCTCTAATACAACTCTATTGAAGACTTATTTTTAAATGTCTTCATAAATTTTATTATAGGTATACATGCACATTAGTATCGGTGGATTTATTACAAGTTTTAATATAACTAAAAATTTTGACATTTTACTGCTTTGAGGGTATATAATTTTAATTTTACGAAAAATATTAGAAGAAAGTGAAAAAATCTCGTAAAGAGTGGTATTATTTCTTGGTAAAGTTAATTTTTTTTAAGCATAAAGGTTCAACAAACATATTCCCGAATTTAAAAAAGAGTTATAGTTATAGCCTGAGCGTTACAGTCTGGCATCTCAATGCCTTAAACAACCTTCAACGATCTGATCTACAATTAAACTTATTATATTTACTTATTATATATACTTATTATATAATAATAATAAAAAAGTATATAAAAAATATTACAAATGAGTTTAAAAAATAATCCTGGAGAAAATATTTTTGATTATTTAAAAAAATGCTTTTCATTACACGTTGCCACAAATTTTAAACTTGCATGGAAACTTAAATTTGAATTGAAAAACAATTTAATTAATTAAATACATAATCTTTCTCAAAACCAAAATAAACAATGTAACATAAATTAAACAAAAAATATGTAAATTAGAAACTTAAAAGTTTAATAATGACTGTAATAGAAAAGTTATTGATACTCAAAATATGATATTTATTAGTAAAATTATCAATCACTTACTTTGAATTTTTTATGCTTTTTCTAAAAAATATAGTGAAAAATATTTTGTCCATATTATTTTTGATCACCCATTTTTTTAT